TCCAAAATACGTGATGGGACACGAGCTGATGTTTAACTCAGAATTGGAAAATAATTGTCCAGCAGCACCTGCAGAAACATGAGAGATGTGACTTAAGGTCTGTCACCAACTTGTCACATCAAGTTTTTCTTCTATCAGATCTTTAAAGTCTTTTGTTGATTCAACTGAAAGTATGTTGAAACCTCTCATCATTTCCACTGTTCTGAAGGTTAGGTCAGGATATTTGACCCAGTTAAGTCAGAAATAAAGACTTTAGACGTGTTTCTACACTAGTTTTAATAACGGGGCCATCAGACATCACAGCCTCTATGTGCATACCTGGCAGCGCCATGACTGCATACAGGAGGAACAGGAGGCGGAGCATGTTGGCAGAGGCTGGTCAGATGATCTGGAAGACAGAGAAATCATCGGTTTTAATTTGTGCTTATGAGGTTTGTTATGTTTAGCAGCTCAGGTTAATCATTTAGGTCTTATACTTTATATACATGAAGGAGTCTGTTTTTCAATTAATGTGAATGCTGTTGACATTTTCTCTTTTCAGGAAAAACAGACAAAAATAAATTGATAAGATAAAAACTAAAAAAATTGTTTGTTTTTTTACATGTTCAGGAAATAGATATTTTCATCATAAAAGTATCATCATGGGGAAAAAGAAGGGAAAAGATAGTTAAATGTCTTTTTGTCAACTAAAGTGAGATCAGCCCAACTCTGGGATGTGATTCCAGGGCTCTATCAGCAACATATTTAAGCTATCATAATCTTTTCCATGAAAACATTTAACACTGTAGGTCCTCTCAAGATCTGGGCTTTTTTTTAAAGTACACCCTAAATCAATGGACCAAATTGTGAAGTATAAAAGTATAATTTCACAAACGATATGAAAACGTATTTTTAATGGCAGCAGAAATGTGAACTTTTGAAGTCACACCCTGAGCTCTTTCAGGGCTCTTCTGGAACCCAGTTGCTTCCGTGGTGAATGCTGGGACAGCGGTCAGTCTGAAGAACATGAAAGTCTGCTCTGATGAATGCTGGGTAAAGGACATGGGGTGAGAACAACATCCAGGGACTTTTTTCCATTCTTGGCCTTGTGTTCTTGCCAATAGAAACAGTGCTGGGGCTAGGGCTGATGACGTCCGACAAGCACACTAGCACGTGAGAACGCAAAAGTAATGAATAGTGTATATCATTGCTGCTGTGACAGCCAGGGAACCAGGCGATGTCTTTTCTCATTTTGGGATGTTTTAAAAAAATTTAATAAATAAATAAATAAATATTAGTTCAGATCCAACATGTGGCATTGTTAAAGCCTAGCCAGGTCTTTTGCCACACATTGGGAAATATCCCTGCTGAGAATCCTCCTCTGGAACCCTATTTCTATTTAATTAGTTGTATCATACCTCAAACATAATCTGCTTTAATAGATGTTCTCCTTTGGCCAAATGATGATCTCTTAAAAGAAATATTCAAACATTGTGTTTTTCCATTGCACAAAACACAACAGTTAAGGAATGTTTAACCACACCCAAGCTCTGATTGACAATAGAAGCATCCAGAACTATCTCAGTGCACTGAGCAGGATGATGGCCAAGAAACAATTAAAAAAAGCTGGTTTATTTGTGTGCTCAAAAGAATGCTACCTGGTCACCAAAGCAGTTGTGTAAGATGGTGCGACTAAGCACATAAACCTCTGTCCTGTGGAAAGGCGTCTCTTATACAGATACATTCATCCAGGTGCCATTAATACAGGTAATAGGTGGAGAACAGATACGTAATAATGAAAAAGATAAAGGACAGGTCTGTGAAGGCCAAACCTCTTGCTTGTTTGTGGGTGACCAAATATTTTCATCCATAATTTACAAATAAATGATTTGAAAATTCTACAACGTGATTTCCTGTATTTTGGTTTCTCATCTTGTCTCACCTTGTCAAAGTTGAACGGCAAATTTTTTTCAGTTTTTAAAAAAAATTAAACATCCTTATTCCCACATCTAGGAAATGGAGAATAAAGTCACTTCTCCTCCTGAACGCACACTGCCGTTGCATCCTACTGTCTGTCTCCTCTAGAGACAGACAGTAGGATGACAACAAAATTATCATGAAGTTAAAAGTTATTAATGAATCAAATTACTGACAGGTAATCTTTTTATTGTTCAAATAGTTCTCAGTCAAACTTTTTACCAAACCACAGAAAAACAGAGATCTAAAGGAGTTCTGATCATTGTAAATAAGTTTAACATAGAATTGACAGCAGAAATTGCAGATTCTTACATTACAGGAGGATGAAGATGGTGAAGGCTGCTGCTCAGGAGGCTATCGGCTCTGTGGATGCTCCTCTGTCTGATAGTTTATTCTAGTGTCACTGGTTTTATCCTGCCAAGAGAGACGAGGGAGGGCTCACGGTGAATCACCTGAGGTAAAGACGTCATAGCCGGTGAAGGCGGAATTATGAACTTGCCAGGCTGTTGCTATTAAATTTAAACTGTGGTCACATTTTGCAGTGTCTGCTGTGGAATGTGACTTAACAAGGAACACCTAGAAACGCTAGAGGAATGTGGTTTACCAGGTAGCACTCAGGAGCGGAGTGTCGTTCAACTTGGACCTATGTGTGGGGCTCGCCATGGTCGGCTGGTTTTGGGCATGGTGGGGGACCTTAGATACGGGGGGCTGGGTCGGGTCGCTCTGAACTCTGTGTCAAGGAGCGGCCATGTTCATTGTCTCCTCTGAGCATATCCTGACTAGCCTCCCATTGTCAAGGGCTTGCAATCTCTGTCTCTGACGGTGGGTGGGGTATTGTATCCAAGGTTGGGATTATGGAGTTGGGCTGTTTCAGGTGGGCTGCAATCCCAGTTCATGTTGCGATCTGTCCCAGTGTGGCCCATCGGGGTACGACCATGGGTCCCAATTTGGTGGGCCTCACCAGGATGGGACTCCCTGTGCTGCTGGTTTTATAGTTAATGAGCACCTCAGCAGGTACCATAACTATCATAACATCATTACATACACATGCACTGTCTAAGAATTTAGGGCTCTAAAAAAAAAGGGAGGGGGGTTGTCTTGTTTTGCTTTTGCCCACCACTTGGTGTTGGGATGCATTTAGAGATTTAAAGCTTTGGGTGGGAGATGTGGGGAGCAGCCTACTCTCCGGCCAGTCTTAAAACATAGATGTCCAACAGACAAAAACTCAACATATGAGCAGAAAAGGGGCTTTTAATATTTAACTACATTATTTCCAAGTAAGATGTCCAGGAAATGCTCAGATAAACACTGGTCATCCCAGGTCACCAAGACAGAATCCCAATTATCAGGACATCTTACATCTAACAGGGGACACAGTTAATTTTGCAGCTTTACACTAAAACTGCGTACTTAGATTGTTTTTAGAGGTGGTGAATTTTGTGGTGTGTGGCACTTTATAAATAACCTAAATTAAAATTAAAACTGTGTTTGTATTTTTGACTCTTTTATACATTAACTGTATTTTTACTGCATTAAAGAAACACAGCTCATGAAGGAAACATCAGAGAGATTTTAATTAACCATTTCATCCATGCCCAAACCATGACTATTACTAGAAGCATCCAGAACCACCACAGGGCACTGAGCTGGATGGTAGCCCAGAAACAGGTTAAAACGAAAAGCCGGTTCATTTGTGTAACAACTATCAAGAAGGAATGTGCAAAGGAACATTTCCGGGAGACAAAAACACTTGTGTAAGGTGTGTGACTGAACATGTGACATTCTTTCAGGTGGACAGGTGTCTTTTACACAGATTATGAGTTTTAACAGGTGTCAATAATACAGGTAACACATGGGGAACAGATAACAGGACAGAATAGTTAACTGACATGTCTTGTAGGGGCAAACTTATTGCTTGTATGTGGGTGACTAAATGTTCTCAACCATATTTTACAAAGAAATTGAGGATAACAAACAATTGAGGATGACAAACAACTGAATATCTGTGTCCATGTGTGCAACAATCTCAAACCAATGGCCTGTGGTTGAGTTACGTCAGGGAAACAAAAGTCAGGATTTCTTACACTGTTTTAAATTAAAGCTGCTAAATTCTTCAGCTCAGCTCAGTGATAGCTCCATGATAGGTAGCCATATTTGCTGTGACTATGGCTGGCCTGGTAGCTTGTAGATTCTGTGCAGTCAATCAAATCAATAACCAAAGGATCCCCTCAAAAAATCCCTTCTCCTCATTTGCAGAAATGGGCACAAGGACAGGCAGAGATAAATATTGTGGAAAAAGTCAATGGTAAAAAAATCAGTAAAATAAAAATTTTATTTAAATAAACAAGTATTTCAAAGTGAAGCTAAATAATTTTATTATAATACATAAGGTTATGTCTATTTGAAGGACACACCGATTTGAACAGAGAGCACATAACAGTCCTGCTATGTCCGAATGTCCACCCTTATCACTATATAGGGCACTACATAATGGTGACGCCATTTTAGATGAGTGTCTGAATGTCCACCCTAATCACTACATAGGGCACTCTATAGTGGTGACGCCATTTTAAATGAGTGTCCGAATGTTCACCCTAATCACTATATAGTGCACTATATAATGGTGACGCCATTTTAGATGAGTGTCCGAATGTCCACCCTAATCACTATATAGGGCATTCTATAGTGGTGACGTCATTTTAAATGAGTGTCCGAATGTTCACCCTAATCACTATATAGGGCACTATATAATCGTGACGCCATTTTAGATGAGTGTCCGAATGTCCACCCTAATCACTTTATAGGGCACTCTATAGTGGTGACGGTATTTTAGATGAGTGTCCGAATGTCCACACTAAACACTTTATAGGGCACTATATAGTGGTGATGCCATTTAGATGAGTGTCCGAATGTCCACACTAATCACTATGTAGGTCACTATATCATTGTGACGCCATTTAGATGAGTGTCCCAGTGTCCATCCTAATCACTATATAGGGCACAATATAGTGGTGACGCCATTTTAGATGAGTGTCCAAATGTCCACCCTAATCTGTTGGGATCCTGAGGCTTGCCCACCAGAGGGCGCCGAGGATCCCTTCCTGGGGGTTTGTGCTTCTGTTGGGATCTGGTGTTCTGTCTACCTTTCCCCACCAGAGGGCGTACTGGATCTCCTGAAGCTGGAGCTGACTTCACCAGCTGTTCCTCATCTGCTCATCAGAAGACCAGTACTTAAGTGGGCTGAGCAAAACTCCAGTGCCAGAGTGTTTTGCCAGTTATGGTTAGCAAGCCTGAGCCAACCTGCCTGTCTGAATCCTGACTCCCTGATATCCTGAACCTAACCTGTTTCCTGTCCTCTCTGCTTCCCAGGAAGAA